CTAGACTATAGACTAGACTAGACTATAGACTAGACTATAGACTAGACTAGACTATAGACTAGACTAGACTATAGACTAGACTATAGACTAGACTATAGACTAGACTATAGACTAGACTATAGACTAGACTATAGACTAGACTATAGACTAGACTATAGACTAGACTATAGACTAGACTATAGACTAGACTATAGACTAGACTATAGACTAGACTATAGACTAGACTATAGACTAGACTATAGACTAGACTATAGACTAGACTATAGACTAGACTATAGACTAGACTATAGACTAGACTATAGACTAGACTATAGACTAGACTATAGACTAGACTATAGAAGACTAGACTATAGACTAGACTATAGACTAGACTATAGACTAGACTATAGACTAGACTATAGACTAGACTATAGACTAGACTATAGACTAGACTATAGACTAGACTATAGACTAGACTATAGTCTAGACTATAGACTAGACTATAGACTAGACTATATACTAGACTATAGACTAGACTATAGACTAGTCTATAGACTAGACTATAGACTAGACTATAGACTAGACTATAGACTAGACTATAGACTAGACTATAGACTAGACTATAGACTAGACTATAGAATAGACTATAGACTAGACTATAGACTAGACTATAGACTAGACTATAGACTAGACTATAGACTAGACTATAGACTAGACTATAGACTAGACTATAGACTAGACTTTAATTTTTTCGTATTCAGTGCATTAATCTCATCCTTTAAGAGGTATTACTCCATGGGACACCCTAATATATAAAATATGTATATATACATATTTTAAGCAATTGTTTTATTAAAAATATGAAATCTATGTTTTGAAAAGATAAAAATCATAAACTAAACATTAAATAATTCTTCTATTTAGAATTTATAATCAAATGTATTAATTAATTATTATATAATTTTATTTTAAATATTTTTATTATTATTTTAAATTTAAATAAAATTTTCATATTTATCATAATGACGCACAGAATATAGACCTAAAATACTACACATAATTTAAATGTTTCTTCAACATTAAATTGCTTACGTAAATCCGCAAAAATATTGAACCCTGACTGAATCGAATTAACGAATTTAAAAATAGAAACAATAGTTCTATTATAAAATTTTCCCAAACAACCGTGTACGCATATGTACATAAATTTAAATTATAGTTAGAGCTTCTTTCATTTGAATATTTGAAATAATTTCCATATTAGCAAATGTCTAGTGCTAAAAATAGCAAATTTATTGAATATGTTGCAAAAAAAAAACAGTAAAAGTTTAAAAGTGATATGCAATATCTAAAGTATTTGAGGTCCATAATAAAGGAAATTCTAAAGGAAAGTAAAACTAACAACATTAAAGAAATTGCCATGAATCAAGAATCCCTTCTTATATTTAAGTAGTTAAACTAAGTACTTAGACTATTTTGCTTTTGTATTCCCACGCATCTAATTAGTAAAATAAAAAAAAATGAATTTCAATAATTTTTAATTTAAACATTAAAGTCGCTCAACTTGATAGTTGTTCATTGTTGTCATACTGGTCTGGTTTAGACTTGTCCAAATTTTTATGTGGTTTCTTCTTCTTTTAAGCATCTTTTGTATCAATACTATACTAAATTGAAAATAGCCATACAATACGAATTTTAATATTTATTTTTTTTATGAGAATTTGCATACATACATATTCAAATAGATTTTTAGCATATTTTAATTTGCTACGGCGCAAAACAGTTTGGAAGAATATAAAAACTCCAAACATTCGAGCAAATAGTATCCATTCGATTTGAACTATCAATAGAATAACAATTTAACAAAATGAAATTCATCATTGTCTTCGCTGCTCTCTTCGCCGTAGCCTTGGCTGCTCCCCGTCCTGAAGATGCCGTCGTCTTGAAATCCGAATCCGAAGTTGGTCCCGAATCCTTCCAATATGCGTAAGTATTTCAAAATTCTCTATGAAATAAACTCCTTAAACAAATACCAACGACGATCAATTCTAACCTCCTGCTATTTTTCTTAATTTACAGTTATGCTACCAGCGATGGTGTTGAAGCTGAAGCTCAAGGTCAATTGAAGAACGTTGGTACTGATGAAGAAGCTATCGTCGTCAAGGGCTCTTTCTCCTTCGTTGCTGATGATGGTCAAACCTACACCGTCAACTATGTTGCTGATGAAAACGGTTTCCAACCCCAAGGTGCTCATTTGCCCGTTGCCCCCGAAGCTTAAGTCTCCTTAATAAATCTTTGTTAAATTGTTAAAATGCCTTAGTTTTTTAAGGATAATAAATTGAAAAAAATCGTTTTTTTTTTTTTTGTTTACAAATACTTTTGAAAATTATTTCCAAAATAATCATCATTAGAGAAGAGTGATATTTTCACAAATGGAATTTATTCAAAGTGATTGATGATTCGATGACAACTACTGTGACTGAAAGTATCGTTATTTGAAATTTCCCATGCAGTTTGTCCATAGCATAGTTGTTACATCATCTGTATCTTCAATATATATTAATTCTGAATTAAAATCTGATATATAAGAAGTACTTATAGAAGATGTCACCCCAAAAGAAATATGAGTACGTTGATTTTATATCCACCATTAAAAAAGAATAACTGGCCTTAGACCCCCAATATATATATACTGTGTACTTATTAAATTCTAAAACGATCTATCCATGCCCGGCCGTCTGTCACAAGTTATATATAAAGTAACGTCTATCTCCTTAATTTTATTAGAATCGGTCCATAATTAACCATACTACTCATATAAGATTCTCTTCAGAAAATTACTTTTATCTAAAAATCTGTGGAAAATTTTTTAGTGGATACATCCACCATATAAGCTGCATTTCATAAAATGACTTAAACAGTCATAACTCATAGCGAGGAAATTCGAAATTTTATAGGATCGAAAAATTTGGATCGGTTCATAACTAACCCTATCCCCTATATTTTATTTTCGTATTTTGATACAAGATGTCGAAGTGCTTATTTCACGGTGGTACTTTTTCAACTAGACGACTCACCACCGCCCCTTTGTGTATCTTACACGCCGGTGGCAATTTTTGTACATGGTGTTGCCGGTCCATGTACATGTACTTTGCTCAAGTACTCGAGCTATCTAATCACTGACTGTTGCTTCCGAGATGCAAAATCATTACTTCCGTTCACAACCACGTAGATGGGCCCCTGTTGAGTAGGCAACATCACCTAGAGACATATTCGGTAGACCGAAACACGAATCCATCAAATAAACCGAGGACTTAGTTCTTAATCACAGGGAATACACTGTGGTAAATCTGGTATGAACAGAGTAAACTCTGCACATGGACAAGAGAGGATAATTCAATGGTATTACTTGTATAAGATACCTTTCATCCATCACCATTCAACCCAGCACACTTCTCATTCATTCAACACACTCATAGAGAACAACATCCAACACACTCACTCTAGGCGTACGGGCGGGGTAAGTTCCGTATAGGGTTCTATAAATCGACTTTCGAATAATCGAACAATGGACTTTTTGTCGAAAAAAGTCGATAACTCGACTATCGTCTATGAAAAAAGTCGAAAAGTCGGCTTTGTAAATAAAAGTCGAAATGTCGTAAAAAGTCGAAAAAAGCCGGAAAAAGTCGAAAACTCGAAAATAGTAGAACAAGCCAAAAATAGTCGAAAATTTTAAAAAAGTGGAAAAAAGTCAACAACTCTAAAATAGTCGGAAAACTCGAAAAAAGTTAAAAAATAGTCGAAAAAAGTCGAAAGAAGTCGAAAATAGTCAAAAAGTCGAAAAAAAAATCAAAAAGTCGGAAAAAGTCGAAAAGTCGACTATTTATAAAATACTAAAAGTAGAAAAGTCTAAAAGTCGACTTTTAATTAAATGAAAAAGACTAAAGATCGACTTTTCATAAAATGCAAAAAGTCGAAAAGTCGACTTTTCGTTTCAACTATAGAACCCTAGTTCCGTATGCCCCTACTTTCATCCTGTATCATATACATTCAATTCCAACTCATCTCGAACGATTAGTTTTACAGTCACTCCTCTGTGGCGTCTCTGTTGACTTAGGCAACAGCTCCGAACTTATCCCGAATTATAGACTATACCGTGCATCAGTCTTTTAACCGACATTCTCTACAAGCGAATTTGGGTTTAAACCACGTGCACCTCGAAGAGACCTCTCCAATAACCGGGACAAGACAAAGCCAGATACTCTGTCCTTCGGGTTACCAGTTCCCGTGGTATCAGATTATGTAGTTCAAATCATTCCAAGGAAGGGCTGAGGATACATTTGATCATCACCAGTTTATAGCCTCGGCTGACTAGAGGTACTGGTAGGACCTCTTTTCCACGGGATTGCAATAGCACCATGTGGGGTCTTTCATCAAGGTAACATGCACCCGGAGTATTTTGTTATAATTCTACATAAAGGATTTGGATCTGTATATCTTTTAAATGTTATAGAGTTCGGCCCACAACCCGATTCAGGTTCTCTTTTAATTGTCAAGTCTTCCTTGTACTGTTATTTACTCTTGAAATAGTGTGACGATAAACCTTTGCACACATAGTCTAGAAATTTTAATTGTATTAGTATCAATTGTCTCTATGTCCCCATGTTTCTGGGGTCTGGGTTTTGAAAATTTTTGTTCATATTTTAAAGTAACGAAATTTGATCTGAAACTTTATAGAACCATCAATAACAACACAAAACCAAAAGTATCATTTGTCAAAAAAATATTAGAACTCCCTGCATAAACTAGTTAACTACTTAGATAGTGACGTAAAAGTGCTAAAAACGACAATTAGGTAATCACGCATATCCCCGAACGTATCTAAAACATTGATAGCAAACTGAAAACAAAATTCGATTACATGGTTAATCCATTCCTTCAAATGTCCTTTTCTTATAACTGTAAGACCTTTTAATATTTTCTCCATATCTATGCATCCCAGTAAGCATTACACACTTTAATTTGTTTTCTTAATTTGTTTTATTATAATTAACAATTTATTAACAACTAATAACAGTCTTCTATTTAAAATTCAGCTACTTAAGCAACTGGGAGATGAGCACCTTGGGGTTGGAAACCATTCTTATCGGCAATATAGTTTACTTGATAAGTTTGACCATCATCACCAATGTAAGAGTAAGAACCACGTACGGAAATGGCTTCATCTTCGGTGCCAGCATTTTCAAGATGTCCCTCTTCTTGGGCACTCTTTCCATCACTGGTTTCTACGGCATAGTTGTAGTTTTCAGGTTCAACATTGCTGTCGTAACGCAAAGTTTCAGCATCTTTGTTGGCCAAGGCAAGGGCGAAGAGAGCAACGAATACAATGATGAATTTCATTTTGAAGCGTTTTACAGCGTGTGTTTAAACGTTGAAGTTGTGAATTGAAGTGAATATCTTCTCTTGCCTTGCATTTTGTTTATATACTTTAAATTTACACCTGCAAATATCTAGCTGTATGTTGTTTTTGTGAAGTGGTTACATTTTATGTTTTAGGTTATTATCAAATATTGGATAGATAATGTTAAATGTTTTAAAATGTTGCGTTGGATCAATCGATAGTGAGTAAATACTTTGTTGTTGTTGTTGGTGTAAATTAGTTATGGTAACTTTATCAAGTTTTATTTATTCCAGATTGCAGGGCAAGAAATTTAACAAAATCAAATAGAGATTTCATTAACATATAATGTGTAAAAACTCAAAATTTGTTTTTGGATTTTAGGTTTTTCTATGATGATATTCGTACATGTATGTATGTTAATTTATGTTGTTTTAAAATTATTATTGTTATTTGATTTTTGTGTAAATTATTGCTTAAATAAAAAAATATAGTTCACGCTTTGTCGGTATTTTTTTGCCAAAATATCTGTGTCAACATTTTTTTATTACTGTAATCGAAACTGTTTTATTTGTTTTTAGTAATAACAAGAAATCAACAATTCAATTAATTCAGTCAATTAATATTTGAGTTCATATTTTAACTCAAAAATTATAATGTATTTTATTAACAAATTATAAGTTTAAAACGATTTACTACAAAGCAATGTAAATTTAACTTAACAAGAGATGATTTGAATTAACAAGAGATGAAAGCTTGTGATTCTTAAGTGATCATTTTAATTCTATGAAACATTTTAATTATTACCATTAAAAATAATATGTAATCATTTCTTTTATAAGTACATTTATTGTGTTCTAAAACGATAGAGCCATGTCCGTCCATAGTTAGTTAGTTAGTTAGTTAGTTAGTTAGTTAGTTAGTTAGTTAGTAGTTAGTTAGTTAGTTAGTTAGTAGTTAGTTAGTTAGTTAGTTAGTTAGTTAGTAGTTAGTTAGTTAGTTAGTTAGTAGTTAGTTAGTTAGTTAGTTAGTTAGTTAGTTAGTTAGTTAGTTAGTTAGTTAGTTAGTTAGTTAGTTAGTTAGTTAGTTAGTTAGTTAGTTAGTTAGTTAGTAGTTAGTTAGTTAGTTAGTTAGTTAGTTAGTTAGTTAGTTAGTTAGTTAGTTAGTTAGTTAGTTAGTTAGTTAGTTAGTTAGTTAGTTAGTTAGTTAGTTAGTTAGTTAGTTAGTTAGTTAGTTAGTTAGTTAGTTAGTAGTTAGTTAGTTAGTTAGTTAGTTAGTTAGTTAGTTAGTTAGTAGTTAGTTAGTAGTTAGTAGTTAGTTAGTTAGTTAGTTAGTTAGTTAGTTAGTAGTTAGTTAGTTAGTAGTTAGTTAGTAGTTAGTTAGTAGTTAGTTAGTAGTTAGTAGTTAGTTAGTTAGTTAGTTAGTTAGTTAGTTAGTTAGTTAGTAGTAGTTAGTTAGTTAGTTAGTAGTTAGTTAGTTAGTTAGTAGTTAGTTAGTTAGTTAGTTAGTTAGTTAGTTAGTTAGTTTAGTTAGTTAGTTAGTTAGTTAGTTAGTTAGTTAGTTAGTTAGTTAGTTAGTTAGTTAGTTAGTAGTTAGTTAGTAGTTAGTTAGTTAGTTAGTTAGTTAGTAGTTAGTTAGTTAGTTAGTTAGTTAGTTAGTTAGTTAGTTAGTTAGTTAGTAGTTAGTTAGTTAGTTAGTTAGTTAGTTAGTTAGTTAGTAGTAGTTAGTTAGTTAGTTAGTTAGTTAGTTAGTTAGTTAGTAGTTAGTAGTTAGTTAGTTAGTTAGTTAGTAGTTAGTTAGTTAGTTAGTTAGTTAGTAGTTAGTTAGTTAGTTAGTTAGTTAGTTAGTTAGTTAGTTAGTAGTAGTGAGTTAGTTAGTTAGTTAGTAGTTATTAGTAGTAGTTAGTAGTTAGTTTTCGTTAGTTAGTTAGTTAGTAGTTAGTAGTTAGTTAGTAGTTAGTTAGTTAGTTAGTTAGTAGTTAGTTAGTAGTTTAGTTAGTTAGCTTCGTTAGTAGTTAGTTAGTGTAGTTAGTTAGTAGTTAGTTAGTAGTTAGTTAGTTGTAGTTAGTTAGTTGTTAGTTAGTAGTTATTACTTAGTTTAAACTATTCAGAATCTCTCTATTATTTACATAACTAAACTTCTCCCATAGTAAATTCATAACAACTGGTACGAAGTACCCAATGGTCTCTATATGTACTTCGTGGCAGGTTAAGAGATTCCCTAAAGCGTTACAGATTTTTCTTTCCCAGTTAAGTGTAACTTTTTCTAAAAAATTCTGCATTAAAACTTCTGGTTTTATTGTTGTACATTCTTTTAATAAATTCTTTTTAACAAAAAAAAAACAAGAAGCCAAGAGCTTTTTTTATTTCAATATCAAGTTATAAATCTCTACAACTCCAACTTATAAAAAAACAATACAACTCCAACAACATTGCACCGGTTATTATTTACATTTGACATAAATGCAAGACATTTGAATGCATAATTTACAACAATAAAACTAAAAACCAAAAAAATTTACAATTTTAGTTTTATGTTGCTGCTTTTTTGGACAACTTTTTTGGTGACTATATAAACCTGAAGGCAGACTGCAAAAGGTATTCAATACATCTTAAACATTCAACGCTTAAACACGCAGTTGTAAAAAAAAACTCTTAACAAAATGAAATTCATCATTGTTTTCGTTGCTCTCTTCGCCCTTGCCTTGGCCAACAAAGATGCTGAAACTTTGCGTTACGACAGCAATGTTGAACCTGAAAACTACAACTATGCCGTAGAAACCAGTGACGGAAAGAGTGCTCAAGAAGAGGGACATCTTGAAAATGCTGGCACCGAAGATGAAGCCATTGCCGTACGTGGTTCTTACTCTTACATTGGTGATGATGGTCAAACTTATCAAGTCAACTATATTGCCGATAGAAACGGTTTCCAACCCCAAGGTGCTCATCTTCCAGTTGCTTAAGTAGCGGATTTTGAAAAAAACAAAGAATAGACTGTTATTAGATGTATATAATTTTTTAGAACTTTTTTGTTTTATGTTTTATTTTTTTTTTTTCTGTTTTTAATTTTTTTTTATTTAAATTTTAAAATAATAAAAAAATAATTATGATTTTGTAAAGATTGGTTTTTTATTTTCAAGTAAAAGAATTTCCATCGTTTCAAAATGGATTAAATGGTGTTTGTGGTACGAAAAGTTCCCTTCTGTTGTTATTCATCTTAGTTTCTCGCGTTTAGAACCTATCATGCCGTCAACATCGTCTTTAGAATATAATACAATTCTAGAGTCCATATTTTTTTGGGACTAGCAATTTGCTTTAGAAATAAGTAATGAAAACATGAAGGTTTTTCAAAACTGCAATCCTAGCTTTCAGATTTTAGAACATGTGGAATAAGGTTGAAGTTCTTATACAGAAATTGGTCGAATTAGGATAATCGTAGGGGAAACATATTCGGCAAATAGGATATATTTTTTTATGACAAACTTTGAATATGTCTACAACTCAGAAATTATAATTGTTAAATACAATCGGATGTCAAGAAAAATGGTATTCTTCTTTAAGCTCCCGTAGCACCGCCGATAAAGCAATTATGGGCTACGTTAAAGTACGTAATCCCTAATATTCCTTCTATCTCCATCAGTTACCAGGTAATAAAAAACAAGTTGTAGTATATTATTTGGTAATCGACTTTGTCTTTCTAGCTTCTTTATAAGTTAGCATTCGTAAGTCTCTGACTAAATTCTCCACAGTCTATTTATAGATTCCATAGTGAGCAATCTTAGTGGAAATCTCTATGTGTCTAGTATAATTTGTGGTAGTATTCATAAGGTCAACTTCGTAACATTTGTACGACTTTTTCAGTGACATTGTGTTCATTTAATATCAAGTGACTTTTAAGTTGACATATTTTTTTAACTAAAAAGCTATTTTGTCTACGTCTTTAAAGTGGCTTCTTTATAAAAATTTTCAAATGTTTAACTGACATTTAAAATAAATTGTAAAAATCTTAAAAGCCAAATAATGCCTGTTTATTTTTCTATAAAACATGTTTTTAAATAAAACACAATTGTATTTATTTTTTTTTCAACACTGACTGAAATTATTCACTCCTTAAATTAACATTGTTTTTATTTACAGGATAAACATATTTACAAAAACAAAATAAAATTAAAATAAAAAATAATAATTTTTTACAAAAACATAACAAGACATTATTTTTTTACATAGTACGATAGATGGATAAAGTCGGAAATTATATAGAGAGTATTCTTTTTTTATGATTTGTTTTTCTTTAATTAGATATTTTTTTTTATGCGGTAAGTTAGTGTTTGGTCTATTTTGGTATATGGGCACCTTCAGGTTGGAAACCATTTTCATCGGCTATAAAGTTAACTGTATAGGTTTGACCATCGGGAGCAGTCCAGGTGAAACTGCCCTTTACCTCTAAAACTTCATTGTCGGTACCGGCATTTTTGATAACACCTTCCTCAGTGCGTGAAGTACCATCACTGGTGGCAAAACTAAACAATAAAATATAGTTTTAAAATCATCTACAAAAATCCTTTTAAACACTATTAAATACTCAACTCAAACTTGTAGGAGTCAATGTTCACATCACTATTTTGAGAAATAATTTCCACATCTTTTTGAGGAGCAGCCAATGTGCAAGCAACAAAAGCGAATAAACCAAAGACTAGCATCTGTTATAAAACAAACAAGAAATTTAATTAAAACAATTAACACTTTTATTAAATGTGTTCGTAGCAAACACATCCTTTCTCTATATAACTTTCACACTTTTAATGTTTCTTTAACTTCTCTTAACTATACGCACCAATTTCATGTTGTTTATTTAAAGGATAAAATATTTCCTGTATAAGATTTATTTAAAAAAATAAATTAATTTATTATTGTCTTTAAAACGTTGACAAAATTGACTCTTGTGTTAAGTAACAACTGTAAGAATAATTTCTGATGTGCATCTAAGATGCATTTTATACGTTTGCCCGTGTAGTTACAAAAAACCAAAGAATTGATAAAAGTCATAAATTTGTTAGTTTTGTTTTTGTTTATTTCTGTGCAAAAACAATCCACACCAATACTAACTAAACCGTCAGCATCGTCATCATCATCAGTAACTTAGTGCAACCTAACTAACTTGCACTTGCAACACACTAACAAAATTAAAACACTCTTCAGCTAGTACATACACACACTCATACATAGATACATGCATTTATAGAAACATCCAAATAGCAACTACATCATCTTCTTTTTCTAGTAACTAGTAAGTATAAACATGTACTAACATTTAGTACTTACAATAAACTAACTTATTGTTGTTGCCTTTAGTTTCTTTAACATTTAGTTTGTCTGCAAGCAGCTTCTTAAACTCTAAACGATAAGACTACTCAGTACCGGCAAACTTAAATGCTAATAGAAACATTTAAAAAAGTTTAAATTACATGTATGTATGTCTGTATGTAGTATGTAAGTAAATATCTTTAGTATATATGCCACATATGTGTATTTTGTTTTTCTTCATACATACATACATTCATACTAATATTCAATATTAAATGCCAGTGGTCGTTTTTTATTATTATTATTTTCATGATCTTTTTTTATTAAAAAGCTTTTGTATGACTGTCTGTCTGTAGTGCAGCCAAAAAGTCATTTACTTAAGTGTGTTGTACCTTTAATAAATGTTGTTAGGCCAACCAACCAACCAACCAAACCATTCATCCAGCCAACCAGTCAACAACCACTTGCATATGAGATGATGATGGTGGTGGTGGTGGTGGTGGTGGCGACAAGTGGAAACGTGTGCCAATATGATGCAACTAACATTTAAGCCGTTGATACTCTCGTACGTCCAACTAACTATTCATCGATCAAAATTAACAAATCAATATTTTGTGTCCATATATGCAAAAAAAAAATTATAACCATTGGTCTATTTGTCAGTTTGTCCATTTGTCGTCTGCCCGTTTGCTCTTGCAAAGTCTACAGTGTTTTAGAAAATATTTATTAAGCTCGAGAACTACTTCAGCGAATGGGAAAATTTTAATTGTTGTTTGACCGAGCTTTACAGCACACTGTGGACCAATCAAAACATTTATTGAAATAAACGTCCAATGAAATCCAAGAAGTATTCGAATATAAGTTTAAAAAACGAAACCTATAAATGACCCAAAGAGGTTGCGTGCTTTGGCGTTTAAAATAAGGCACCTTTGACAGATCACAATTTTAAAAGCGTGCTATTTTTTGTTTCTTCTCTGTTAAACAAAAACATTTTCTATTTACACCCCCAATTTTTAAACCGAATTTGACCTATTTTTAATCAAAATTTCAAATGGGTCACATGTTTATCATATTAGTAATAAGTTATCAGTGATAATTTGGTGACTGGTAATCAGTTTTCCGGTACTGCTTACTGATAAGAAGCTTTCTGCAATCGGATAGTGCGTAGGGCTACGCGGAAAAAGAAACGTATTCAATGACAGCAACTGGATGGATATTGTTTTCCTTATGGTCATGAGCCATATGCGGTAAGATCTACAAACAAATCAGTCAGCTATTTTTGGTTATGATTATTTATCATGGATTTGGTACACGATATTGACAGTTAAAATAGCTCTTGAATTTTCTGAAGTCTAGGGGATCAATCAATATATTACTCAGATTTGCATCACGGTAAAAAGCCACAATTTACAGAAAATATTATCTTCTGCAAATCACTGTCTGTGTACGTGTGAATTTATGTAAATATGTTTCATACTTATAAAGTTTATAAATAAATAAAAAAAATAAAATTATATGAATAATCACTTTTGATGAAATACCCTACGTATGGTATATTGTTTTGAATATCCGATTCAATACTAAAAATCGATTGGTCAATACCAAAGTATACATTTCTAAGGGATTGATCATCGCTAAATCCGAATCTGGTCTCATAATTCCACCATTACATCAGGGTTATTTCAAATATGGCCACAAAGGGTTTTTTCAGTTTTTAGAGGTATTCCTACAAAAAAAGTGGTCCACGGGACACCTTATGTACATCATGTTTTCAGTGTAAAAATAAACTATAACTTCTACAAAAACTTCTAAAAAAATCGCACCTGAAATGACAAAAAAATTCTGACTTGAATTGAAAGAAGTAAGAGTAAGTAACAAAATGTTCATATATATATATTTTTTTTTTTTTTGTAGGCTCTGGACTTTGACTAAATATGATCTTAGATCTTCTTCTTTGGTATGAACATAGTTTTAGGATGAACTATGGCAAAACGTTTGTCTAAATTTATATAATTAATATTTCTGGAATACAGATTAAATTGATCTTTTATTTGAATAAAAGTCGAACAATATTCAACATCTTATAAGTTGTAGTGTGTCTAGTTCGTTCGAATAATTATTTAACATACTTAACCGGGTATTTGAACTTTAGAAACATCAGAGTCACCCAAGATTTCTACATTTACTTATTTTTTCTTTCTATGGGTTAGATGTTTGATTTGTTTAAATAATGCGTTGCGTTGCAGTCGAAGAAAAACAAAAGTGAATAAATCGTTAATTGTCAGTCTATCCAACCAACTAGCTGTCTGTCTCTACGTCAATAGGTGTTTGATAAAAGTTTTTGGTAAAGTTCTTTAAAGTGTATGAATGTATGTATGTACCCGTCTGTTACCTTGCAATGACGTTGTATCTACATACATACATATGTATGAATCAGGCATGGAAAATTGAAATTTTTTAGACTAGACTATAGACTAGAGTATAGTCTATAGTATGACTATAGACTAGACTATAGACTAGACTATATGACTAGACTATAGACTAGACTATAGACTAGACTATAGACTAGACTATAGACTAGACTATAGACTAGACTATAGACTAGGACTATAGACTAGACTATAGGACTAGACTATAGACTAGACTATAGACTAGACTATAGACTAGACTATAGACTAGACTATAGACTAGACTATAGACTAGACTATAGACTAGACTATAGACTAGACTATAGACTAGACTATAGACTAGACTATAGACTAGACTATAGACTAGGACTATAGACTAGACGATAGACTAGACTATAGACTAGACTATAGACTAGACTATAGACTAGACTATAGACTAGACTATAGACTAGACTAGACTATAGACTAGACTATAGACTAGACTATAGACTAGCCTATAGACTAAGACTATAGAATAGACTAGACTATAGACTAGACTAGACTATAGACTAGACTAGACTAGACTAGGACTATAGACTAGACTATACTATAGACTAGACTATAGACTAGACTATAGACGACTATAGACTAGACTAGACTAAGACTAGACTATAGACTAGACTATAGACTAGAACTATAGACTAGACTAAGACTAGACTATAGCACTATAAGACTAGACTATAGACTAGACTATAGACTAGACTATAGACAGACTATAGACTAATAGACTATAGACTAGACTATAGACAGACTATAACTAGACTATAGACTAGACTATAGACTAGACCTATAACTAGACTATAGACGAGACTATAGACTAGACTATAGACTAGACTATAGATAGACTAGACTATAGACTAGACTATAGAACTAGACTATAGACTAGGACTATAGACTAGACTAGAAGACTATAGACTAGACTATAACTAGACTATAGACTAGACTATAGACTAGACTATAGACTAGACTAGACTAGACTAGACTAGACTAGACTAGACTAGACTATACTAGACTATAGACTAACTTAGACTAACTATAGACTAGACTATAGACTAGACTATAGACTAGACTATAGACTAGACGATAGACTAGACTATAGACTAGACTATAGACTAGACTATAGACTAGACTATAGACTAGACTAATAGACTAACTATAGACTAGACTATAGACTAACTATAGACGAGACTATAGACTAGACTAGAGACTAGACTATAGACTAGACTATAGACTAGACTATAGACTAGACTATAGACTAGACTATAGACTAGACTATAGACTAGACTATAGACTAGACTATAGACTAGACATGACTAGACTATAGACTAGGCTATAGACTAGACTATAGACTAGACTATAGACTAGACTATAGACTAGACTATAGACTAGACTATAGACTAGACTAGACTATAGACTAGACTATAGACTAGACTAGACTAAACTAGACTAGACTAGACTAGACTAGACTAGACTAGACTAGACTAGACTAGACTAGACTATAGACTAGACTATAGACTAGACTATAGACTAGACTATAGACTAGACTATAGACTAGACTATAGACTAGACTATAGACTAGACTAGACTAGACTATAGACTAGACTATAGACTAGACTATAGACTAGACTATAGACTAGATTATAGACTAGACTATAGACTAGACTATAGACTAGACTATAGACTAGACTATAGACTAGACTATAGACTAGACTATAGACTAGACTATAGACTAGACTATAGACTAGACTATAGACTAGACTAGACTAGACTATAGACTAGACTATAGACTAGACTATAGACTAGGCTATAGACTAGACTATAGACTAGACTATAGACTAGACTATAGACTAGACTATAGACTAGACTATACTAGACTATAGACTAGACTATAGACTAGACTATAGACTAGAACTATAGACTAGACTATAGACTAGACTATAGACTAGACTATAGACTACTATAGATAGACTATAGACTAGACTATAGACTAGACTATAGACTAGACTATAGACTAGACTATAGACTAGACTATAGACTAGACTATAGACTAGACTATAGACTAGACTATAGACGAGACTATGACTAGACTAATAGACTAGACTATAGACTCTAGACTATAGACTAGACTATAGACTAGACTATAGACCTATACTATAGACTAGACTATAGACTAGACTATAGACTAGACTATAGACTAGACTATAGACTAGACTATAGACTAGACTATAGACTAGACTATAGACTAGACTATAGCTAGACTCTAGACTAGACTATAGACA